TTTACTTTACGTTAACGTACCCTACCCGTACGTACTAACATACTATATTACTACTATATATATATATATATATATATATATATATATATATATTTCAATTTTTGTTTTTGCTAGGTTCTAGACTAGATCCAAGTTTTGAATGGGATGAGTCAGGTCTAGGTCCAAAACCTGAACCCGAGTTGGGCTTGGGCCAAGTTCAGGTCCAAGTTGATCGAGACCCGACCTGACCATTTGCGCTCCTAATTTTACCTAGGTAGCCATGTTTTTATGGTAGACTGTACTTGTTTGTAGTGGGGAGCACGACTAGCTCAACTACTGTGGAGTGGGCCATGGTCGAGCTCCTTCACAACCCTGAAAAGATGGCCATGGTTAAGATGGAGCTCTCAAGGACCCTTGGTGGTCCTGAGCACACCGTGGAAGAGTCAGACAAATCTCGACTCCCTTACTTACAGGTAGTGGTGAAGGACACTTGGCGGCTCCACCCCTCGGCACCACTTCTCGCACCCCATAGGGCCGATGCTACTGTAAATGTGGCTGGATACATAGTGCCGGGACATACAAAAGTGTTGATCAACAATTGGGCAATCGTAAGAGACCCTAAAGTGTGGGACAATCCAACAACCTTCTTGCCGAAGAGATTCCTGGGTTGTAATGTGGATTACATGGGCAAGGATTTCCAATTTCTTCCATTTGGGGCAGGGCGGAGGATATGCCCTAGGGGTGCACTTGATGCTTGCGTCTTTGTTGCATTATTTTGATTGGGATCTTCCTCATGGATTGAAAGCAGAGGAGATGTATATGAGAGATAAGTTTGGGATCACCCTGCACAAGTTGGTTCCGCTTCGACCCATGCATGTTCAAAGCTTGTGATTTGCCAGGTGCAAGGCAGACTCTCCAGCTTGATAATTCCTGCTTGGAGAGTTTTATTGTAATAATTTTTTGTTTCGATTGTATAATATGAGACTATGGATGAAGTTTCTACGATGCCTAGGTTTTATGAAAACTAAATAAAGCATCATATCAAATTTTCGTCAGGAAAGTACTTTCTGCAACATAAATTTCATGATAGTTTTAAAATCAATTTTTAACATCAATAATAAAATTTGAAACTCAAAAAATGTACAGATTTTGCAGATCTCTGAATACTTCTTTTTAGGATGAAATGAGTGGTCTAGATAAATTGTTAAAATATATACATTTTTTAGAGTTTGAAATCCATTTTTACAACCATAATGTTCAAGTTGATAGGCAAGGGGATACAATATCAGTCTATGGATTAGAGGTTCTCCTCTAGAGACAAACTCATGGTCTCTAAGGCTAGATGCAATCATAGCTCTATCGTGCATAGGGATAATCTCTCGTACATGTACACACTTTACCCTCATTGGTGGTTCGTTTTCCCGATACGACTATTATATGTATATTGTATGAGATTCAGTGATGAGGCTTTGGCTAATGTCTCTAGAGGCCAAACATCATACACAAAGGTTACACAGTCTTGTGGCTCATTCTCATAGGCAACTCTGACCTCATCAAAAGATAACTCATAAACCCTCATCAGTTTTGTTCTATGTCTAAGTAATAAGGGTTTTCCAACCCAGGCGTATCACATTAATCTAAATCTGAATATCGGTAAATAACATTTATCTATCTCGATCCATCTGAATCATAATCTCTTTGTCCCTCAGGAGCACATTCCCACTGCAGTTTATGTTCCACCAGATATTGATTACGTACTCTCATAAGGACTTTAATGACTACAAAAATCCAACACTTTAACCACCCGATTTCAAATGTAATGATTAATGATGATTGTGATATCATTGTATAAAAAATAACTATCCGATTTCAAATGTAATGATTAATGATGCTTGTGATGTCATTGTATAAAAAAGAACTGGTCTCATTATATACATTTCCTTCTTCTTTTTCGTGGTGTTAAAAGTAGGTGTAGATGATTTGGGTGTTGACGAGACTACGTGATGGGTATGCACACGAAAAATTTAGGGGTGAAAAATCTTTGGCCCTGATGGGCAGCCACACAGTCCTTTTCTCTCTCTATAATTTATCCCTAGGCTAAATGGTCACTCTTTCTTATTTTCTTACTCTTAACTCTCTCATGAAACATCCTCCTCTCTCTCTCTCTTTCTGTTTTTTGTAGCTCTCACGGTGCCCCCATATACCTCTTGTTACTCTTTAACCAGAAACCCTTCTAAACCTCACGTCACCCACCACCAATTGTATATAGCCATTAATTTTCTTGGACTAGGTAGACCCCTTTGTGATTATCTTAATCTAATGGGACTTATCTTGATCCCAACTTAATCTTGTACTAATCATCTATTGGTATCTTGGTTTGTCCCTTCAGATTTCTGATCCGATTCAGTGGATCGACAATTCGGCCTACCAAATCGGAAATGAAAAAAAATAAAAATTAGTGGGATCAGTTTTGATCGGTTCTATGATAGAACTGGCTAATTCTTTTAGAAAACTGCCCAGAATCAGCTTGTTCAATAATTAAAACATAAAAAAAATAAAAAGGTCGAGCCGGTTCATATCCATTCTCTAAGAGAACCGTTACATACTAGTCGGAATTGGCATGTTCATTGGGGAACTATCTAATTCGTAATATAATGTAGGATCCACGTCGACTTGACCGATTTTTTATCAAGATTAGCTAGTTCCAATCCAAATCACCGATTTTTAAACATTATATCCAACTAACAAAAGTCAATATTGCGTAAGCTTGCCTTACGAACGAGCGTGGCAGTTTTTTACTCACCCCCCATATCTCTCTCTCAAAAGAATGTGTAAGCATGCCTTTCTCACATTCAAATTGTCATTTGCAATTTTTCAGTTTTTTTTCAAAAAGAGGGGTAGCAGCCCTTGGTGTATTTTTAGTCATGATACAAGACTAAATGCATTAAGAGAAATACGCAAATGAGCCCTAAGATGTAACGTGGGAGATAAGAATTGAACGGACATCAGATCTATATACCTTAGTAGACAGTTAGTCATTATACAAACCCAATGGATTTGCATCTTGGAAAATATTTGCAAGGCATGCTCCTATTATGATAATAGAGTATGAAGTGCCTAAGACTCATCATGTGAAGGCCCCAATATTCCTTAAGAATCATGGTCGTCGATCAACTCATATATCTTCGCTAACGACCAATAATAAATTATCTCAATTTGAGACGAGCTCTGGGATATAGGAGACTACAATATGCCTCTCCATACAATATTGCAAGACTTTGGATAGGGTATATACACTTTCAAACCCGTTATCAGTCAAATATGTGCATCTTGGCTATTAATCGGTCATAAAGGACTATCAAGCCATCTCAATTTGAGATAAACTCTGGCACATATATCCCCAAGGGCACAATATACCCTTCCACACAATATTGTAGTTTGGATATGGTACGATACATTTTCGAATCCATTATCGGTCAAATATGTGCATTTTGGCTAATAAATGGTCATAAAAACTCTAGGTCATATATCCCCAAGGCCACAATATGTCTCTTCATATAATATTGGAAGAGTTTGGAAATAATACGATACATCTTTGAATCCATCGTCTGTCAAAAATGAGTGTTCGACGATCAGAGCATAAAGAAACCTCATCATACGATATCACATTAATGTGTCCTCACAAATATATTTAATGAGGCCTCACATGCCTCTAATCCAAGAATTACACAAATTGGACATCAAGCAGCCCACTGGCCACAATTCGTCAGCGGTCAAAATATACCTTGACTAGTAGCCTGAACATGATATTTGGGGATCGTCTGAAACTCTTTGGAAATCACATATGAGGCATCAAACCCCTTATCTCGAAGTTTCAAGTCATTTGGAGATGGCTTAGCCCCCTCATCTATATTAGTCAGCAGTTAGATCCTTATACATCGTCTTTTAGACAAATAGCCAGGATGACCTTCGGTTACTAAATTTGATATTTTTCTCAATCTATAAGGAGTTTTCTAATGGGATATGGGCCATTGAATTCGCGTCTTGATGCCCTATGAGCCATAGAAGTGTGGCATCCTATGAATATCTCATTTGAAAGTGGCAAGCTCTCCAACAATAACCATGAAAATTGTGTAACCAACGATGGATGATTTTTTCTAAGATATGGAGAGTTTTAAACCCAAATCTTTTGAGGATATATTTCATAGTCCTCTCTACAAAATTATCATACTCCCAGGGTCTATGGTTCCCTGTAGTAAGAGGGATTGTACTTGTAATCCTTAGATCTGCTGTCGTAATCTGCAACAAAAATGAGTTTACTTCGATGTGCCATATCTCTTTTGTCTATGATTCATTAAAGGTGATGTTTGAATCATTGTGTTTTTTTTTGAGCCCTCTATCACCGTATAACATTTTATAGTGAAAGGATTTGTCATCAGAGAGCGGCAATGAAACTACCTAGACATGTCAAAATTACTCTGCAGATTGGCCGACGACGAATATGAATAACCACATTCATTGATTTTCTCATACAATATTGTGATGAATCTTGGCAGTTACAGGTTCAAATTCAAACATCAGGATAAGATCAAGATCAAACTAGGACAGAGTTATCATTAAAGCCATATGAAGATGCTTTCAAATTCAAACATGAGTATAAGTTTATCGTTTCAACCGAATTATGTGAGGTGAATGGATATAGTTAAGGATTTGGATATGCTTCATCAACCTTCACCCTCATCAATGCAGAAGGTTTATTTAAACCCATTTCTCAGTGAGAAGAAGGAATGGTAAAATTTACACACGCCGTTGTTTTGTTTCCCATTTTTTTGTGCATGAGAGAGAGAGAGAGAGAGAGAGAGAGAGAGAGAAGATAGACGAGAGAATGACTACTATTTATTGTATTGATAGTACAAGACA